TTCCTCATCATCCGCCTCCTCCTCCTCTCAACGCCACTCTAACAGGGACTCCACTAACGGGCACTTTGGCCAGGGACCTGGCAAACCCAACCCTCCCCGATGTGGGCAACGCTGCACTGCCAGAGCGAGGCCCTCAAATGGCAACGTGCGGCAAATCTCCAAAAAGTGCACGAAAGTGACGGCCTTTTTCCTCCTCCTCCTCCTCCTCCTCCTCCTCCTCCTCGTCCTCCTCCTCCTCCTCCTCCTCCTCCTCCTCCTCCTCCTCCTCCTCATGCTCATCCTCCTCCTCCTCCTCCTCGACCTCCTCCTCCTCCTCCTCCTCCTCCTCATCATCCTCCTCCTCCTCCTCCTCCCCCTCCTCCTTCTCCTCCTCCTCCCCCTCCCCCTCCTCCTCCCCTCCTCCTCCTCCTCCTCCTCCTCCTCCTCCTCCTCCTCCTCCTCCTCCTCCTCCTCCTCCTCCTCCTCCTTCTCCCCCTCCTCCTCCTCCTCATGCTCCCCCTCCTCCTGCGAAGGTGCCCCGCCGCCTCCTGCGCATCAGCTGCGTCGCGCGCTCGACGGCGCGACGGGTCTCTCCTTCCGGGGCTCGCGGAGCGAGGCCGTCGCCACCACCGCCACCGCGATCGTGCCTCGTGCAGCATCCGCCCTCGCCGTGCTGCGGCGGGTCCTTCTCCACCCCGGCGGCGTCGTCGAGGGCTCCCAACCTCGCGCTTCGCGCTGCGGGAAGCGCGAAGTGCGAGTAACGTCGCGCTTTCGCGCCGCCTCCCAGGAGAGAAGAGGAGGATGAGGAGGAATCGGAGCCGAACCGCGAAGCGCGAACAATTCCGGGCCCTCGAGGGCGCCCTTGCGTCGTGGTCCGTCGCCGGCCTGCGAAACTGTACAAGTTCGTGGACGACCTCACGCTGGCGCAGCAAGAGCGCCATCGGATCGTGGTGGAGGAGCTCACCGAGGCCCCGGACTGGTTCTCTCTCCGCCCGGAGGGCGAGCTGCAGCTGGAGGCTAGTTAGCAAGGACACCTCGGCGACGCGAGGGGAGTCGGCTGGCATGCGGCATGACCTCGTGCCTGTGGCTCGGGCCGGGCGCTCGAACCGCAGCCGCCAAGGAAGGGCATCCATTTTGACTCCGTCGTGGAGGGCCTCGGCGTCGGCGCGGAACAGGTCGCCGACGCGCTGGCCAGCAGAGCGCGCGAGCATGGCGCTCTGCTGTGGTGCAGGCTGGTCTCGCCGAGGCGCCACCATCCAGAAAGTCGTCGAGACGGGCGTCGAGCCTCCTGCGCTGCAACAGAGGGAGGGCACAAGCCATACCTATAAACTCCTGGCGATCCGCGCGGACTTCTTGGATCTGCGCTGGAGGCGCCATCGGAGGCGCCCAGCGCGGATGCAAGAAACCCGCGCGGAGCGCCAGAGGTCTGGTGCTTTTGGCGCTGGCACTGCTTCGATGCATGGGCACCGCACGCGGGGCCTGCGCCCCGCCCATGTCTGGGCCCTCCAGCGCGCGCTCCGCAGAGGGCTCCCCGGGAGACCCGCGGGCCAGGGCGCCATGCTTCGCCCGGCGCCCGGCAGGGCGAGGGCCCCGGCGCCCCCAAGGGAGCGGTCGCTGCTCCGCCGGAGGCCGCCCCGCCGCCGTGCGCGCGCCCCGCCGCCGTGCGCGTCGCGCGGAGGCGGCAGCAGAGCCGCGTGTGGATGACGCCGAAGTTTGGGTGGCAACTCACGGGAGCCTTCCGTGCCAATGTACTACCTTGTCGGCTCTGGCGAAACCGACGCTAAATCGGAAGTGCCGATCGCCGACGCTAAATCGGCGCTACCTCGTCGACTCCCAGACGCTACTCGACGCTAATCGACGCTAGCCGACGCTAGAGACGGAATGAAGAGAGTATACCAGGCTCCCTTGACTTGCTACCGAAGATGACGCCGAAGTGGGGCCGCGTGGAGGGGCCAGCGGGGTCATGCATAATGCAATCCTGGGAGCTGGGATGGACCTGGCCCGCGTGGCACACCTTCCCGACCGGGGAGGGCTAGGCCGTCCAAGTGCGAAAACCACATGCCCGAAGGATGTCGGCGCAATGGCGCGAATGGATTTCGAGGCCGCCACGTGGGAACGGTGGACGTCGGCCGCCGACGGCAAAGCCGAGCTGGCGACGGCGCTCCTGGTGAAGATGGTTCCGGTGCCGTCAACGGTGCCCAACCACTGCAGCCGCGCAAGCCGTGCCTGTGGACTCAAGAGCGAGCCGACAACAGAGGCGTGGCTGAACACCCGCACTGCCTCGCCTGCCTGGCCTGCGGAATCAAGATGGTCGGGGACTTGAGGTATCGCATAGGCCATGCCGAGTGCAATCGTGAGGTCCGCCTGGTGCTCCCAGCGACGTGTCAATATTCAATTGTTATTTCCGATAGGCGCTGGCTGTGTGACCGCGGCCTGGTTCGTAATCACGCGACGCTGTACCCTTCCAAGTCGCAGCAGGAGGCACTCCTAGGCTCCTGGCCGAGGGCGCGGAGGCGTGCTTCGAAGGCGACGTCGCCACCGATGACGGCAAGGTGTGCAGCGTGCGGGACCTCGGTCGAAGAGGCATCGCCGCAGCGCAACCAACGGCCAGCTCGAACGCTGCCATCGCCGTGTGGGGTCCCATGCCAGTATCGCTGCCAGTGCAGAGGCGGATCGCGCGGGCTGAGCTCTTCGCGGTGCTAAGTGTCTTTAATCGTGTGGTGCTGTCTCCAAGAAGCACGCGCGGAGCGCCAAAGTTGATGTTCATGGCGTTTGTTCTCCTTCGACTGCTCGAGCACATCGAACAACAGGCGGTCACTGCAGCAACTTGCCAGGCCACCGGGGCGCTGGACAACACAGCCGGCGCGGCAGAGCAGCTGGTGGGAGGCAGCGGCGGCTGGGGCGATGCCGTCGATCCGTCAAAGCGCGAGCCGCGGGAGCGACCGCCGCCTCTCCCGCGGCTGCCGCTGGGGAGCGGGCTCCAGTGCAGCCGCTGCCGACGGCGAGCTTCCGGCGACTCCGGGCGAGATCGCCCAGAAGAGAGCAGCTGCAATGACCACGCCACGGCCGGCCTGGTGCTTGACGACCAGGGCCGGGACGCCAGCGTCTGGGGGCATGGGCTGTGGTGCAGAGGCCCGTGTGTCTGGCGCTGCCGCTGCGGCAGCCATTCGAGCCAGAGAGTCGACGGCTTTGCAGATCGACGCAAGTCCAGAATCGGAAGTGCTGGGCTATGCAGACATGGTTTAGCGCGGGGCGTCTACCTGGATGATGCTGAACTACATACCGCGGACGTGTGCCAAGGGGAAGTACACGAGTGCAGACACAGAGTCGACGGTCTTGCCGACCAGTGCCGAGGACGCCCCGCGGGAAAGGGCAACGGAGCCGCCTCTCGGCGGCCGACCTTGCGGCCGGGAGGGCGCCGAAGTCCAAGGTCACGGACCCGCCGATCGCCGCCCCGCGTTGGCTCACATTGGCTCACATTGGCTGCGCTGGCGCGGGCTTCGCGCGACGGACCACGGCGACAACGAGCAGCGGCCCACGGGCGGCGGGGCCTCTGGAAGGCCAACCTGACCTTTCACAGCTTACAGGGGTCATTAGCATGTGCATGCATCGACTGCCACACCATTCGCACCGCGACCGTTAAGGCCCTACCGAACCGAACCTTCATCATCATCAGCATCATCATCAGCATCATCATCAGCATCATCATCATCAGCAGCATCATCACCATATCATCGTCATCAACATGATCATCAACAGCATGATCATCAACATCATCATCTTATATATAGATAAGTATCATCATCAGCATCATTATCAGACTCATCATACTTAGCAACATGATCATCACCATCAGCAACAAAATCATCGACGTCATTATCATCCTCATCATCATCATCATCACCATCAGCATGAAACTCATCAACCTCATGATCACAAACGACACCATCATAAACAGCATCGCCATCGTCGAGGTGGTGGTCATCATCATCATCATCATCATCATCATCATCATCATCATCATCATCAGCAGCAGCAGCAGCAGCAGCAGCAGCAGCAGCATCAACAGAATCAACATCATCATCATCACAATCGTCGTCGTCATCAACAACAACATTAGCATCAAGAGCATCGCTATGTTTCCCGCCATTCGCAACAGCAACACCACCATCATCACTCTCATCCGCATCACAGCTCACCAGACCCCTGGAGACACGAGGTGTCACACGTGACGGCCTCCCGTGACCCCTCGAACGATCGCCACCCAGACTGCTGAGCCGGCTTGGTGCGGGGGCTCGACATAGGCAGCTGGACATCAAGCTGCACGTAAGCCGCCTTACATCATTGTAGCTGCTGGAAACTGTTACGAAGAATGTGCGCGACACCGAAGCACAAACTTCGAATAGGAAATGTATCGCCCTCCAGACTTGTAAGTCCTTGGGAGCTTCTGAAATATGTGCGCGGCGCAAAAAAAACTCATTTTGAAAACGGTCCGTCCTCCATCCGTGCAACCGTTGAGCTTCTCAACCGTCCGGATCGCAAAGGGTGAGACAGTCTTTGGCGAAACGCCCGGCCCACCATACAGGGGGAGTCAGATTTAACGATCGAGAATGGAGGAGGAGAGGGGGGTAGGCAAGGGAGAAGACGAGGGGAGGCGGACAAAGGGAGGAAGAGGGAGGCGGAGGAAGACGAATGAACAGGTCAATCAGGAGCTTGGGCATGGAGTTGGTGGGGGTGTGGAGTGGGGAAGCGTGCAGAGTGGCGTGATGGAAGGTGGTCCGCGGAGGCCTCAAAATTACAAAAATCATCAGGGTCCGCGATCCTCCCTCCATCCCGTTTGGGAGCAGGACGAGGGAGGAGGGAGATCGGGAGAATGAGCGACAGCAGGAGAGGGACGACGACGGCAGCGTGGGGGAGGACGCCGTCGATGACGGCGACGAGATCAAGAACGAGGACGACGGCAACAAGGAGAACGACGAGAATATGACAGGGACGGTGGGCGACGAGAAGACGACGTGGAGCAAGGCAAGAAGCAGGAGCCAGACGACGACGATGACGAGAACGGTGACGACGTGGACGAAGACGCCGAGAACGAAGGCGCCGAGGACCAAGCCGACTGGGACGGCAACGGCCGGCGGCCTCTTGGCGGAGCCGGTCGTATCCGATCAAATTCGAAGCGCCCCGTGGCGCCAGGCAAGCGCGGGAGGGCCAGCAGGCGAGACGACCCGCGGTCAGCGCTCCTCTCCTCGCTGTCCTGCTCCTGGGTGCCCCTCCTCCTCCGCCCTCCCCCCCTGCCTCGCTCCCCGTCGAGACAGAATGCCGCCCCCGCCGCCGTTTCCGTCGGCACCCTCAGGCCCTCCGCCGCCATCACCGCCGCCGCCGCCGCCGCGGCGGTGACGCCAGCACCGTCGCAGCCGCCGGCTTCGCCGCCCTGCGGACGTGGAGGTTCCACGACTGAGGCTCATGTGGCCGTTCTCGGCTTGAAGGTCAACCATGGCCAAGGAGGAGGATTTTCAGGGCGGGCCCTCCCATTAGAACCCTTGCTTGGCTATCACGGTCAGCGTTTTCATCACGACCACCGTGCACCTCGGGAAAGTGACTCTGAGCCGCGGCCCACCGAGTGGTCTAAGCGCCATCACCCCAAAGCGTAAGGATTAGTGGTCATCCTCATCCTGCTCATCCTCCGTCTCCTCCTTTTCCTCCTCCTCCGCCTCCTCCTTTTCCTTCTCCTCCTCCCTGCTCCTCCCGCCCCCATCTTCCGTCCATATTATCATCCACCCAGTAACCCTCGTCGTGTTCTTCCCTTTCCATCTTCCACCTTCCTCTTCCACCTCCTCATCCAACCCCCTGTCCTCCTTCCTAATCCCATCCCTCATGTTTGTCCTCCTTCTCGTCGTCCTCCTCCTCCTCCTCCTCCTCCTCCTCCTCCTCCTCCTCTCGTCCTCTTCCCCTCCTCCTCCTCCCTCCTCATCATCCTCCTCCTCCTCCTCCTCCTCCTCTCCTCCCCTCCTCCTCCTCCTCTCATCATCATCATCAATCATCATCATCATCATCATCATCATCAGCAGCAGCAGCAGCAGCAGCATCATCATCATCATCATCATCATCATCATCATCATCATCATCATCATCATCATCATCATCATCATCATCATCATCATCATCACCATCACCATCACCATCACCATCACCATCACCATCTCCATCATCATCATCATCATCATCATCATCATCATCATCATCATCATCATCATCATCATCACCATCACCATCACCATCACCATCACCATCATCATCGTCAACATCCCCATTCCTCTCTCCTCCTCCTCTCCTCCTCCCTCTCCCTCCCGCTGGAGGTGGAGGAGGCCCTGGAAGGATGAGCAGACTGCCGAATGTAGGCGAAGGATGCAGGAGAAGCTTGCCCGCAGGAAAGATTGCCTGGATGCGTCCACTCGCAAGCATCGCGGCGGCCTGGCGCAGCCTGGCACACGAAGCCAGGCGGGGAGGATGGAGAAGAGGATGAGGATGGCAGGGAGGGAGGGAGGGAGGTGAGGAGGGGGAGAGAGGGGGGGGATGAGTGGAGGAGGGCATGGCAGCAGCGGGGAAGGAGGCGGACGACGAGGGAGGTGGAAAGCGGGAGGGGGGGGAGCGGGAGGGAGGAGGAGATGGGGGATGTGATACGAGGGAGGACGGAGGTATTGAAGGGGCAGCACCAGGGGGGCAGGGGTGGCGGGAGGGAGGAAGGGAGGGGAGGGAGAAGGGCAGGAGAGCAGGAGCAGGCGAGGAGGGGATGGGGGAGGGAGGTGGGCGGGGAGCGGGGCGAAGAGTTGGAGGTCGCTTGGGGGGCAATGCTGTTTCCAGGGCCAGGTCCCCATGCGCTCAGCCGGCGCGCTTGAACCGTCAATAACAATCCTTGCGACACCCAATCGCGACAAGTTCGGCCTCAGGTTTGACGATTGGCTGCTTAGGTTTGCTTCGACCCTATGAGCATTGCCTCCTCCTCCGTCGCCCCAGAAACACAGATCGCGTTCGCTGCCCCTCAGCGAGCTGAAAACGAAGAGGAACCAGGGAGGAGGAGGGTGGAAGGTAGTCTGGGAGAGGAAGGGGAGTTAGAGCGAGGAGGGAGGACAGCAAGAAATGAGGGAGGTGGGAGGGGAAGAAGAATGAGGAATTCACTGGGGAGGGAGGAGGGATAACGAGCACAGGAAGGGAGGAATCTGTCATTGGATGCCTGCCACAGTATGGCACTGGCATGAAACATTGGCCGAATGCAGATGCATCTGGGCTTCGATCTGCCGCACGGCTGAGAGATCTATGCAACGAGGCGCAGCGCACCGCAACGCCCTCCCCTGGCCCGCCCAATCACCAAGCCGCCTGGGCTCACTAGCACCATCGTCCCGACCACAACCACCATCAGATTCAATATCGTCATCACCAGCATCTTCATCATATTGCTTCTCGTCTTCACCGCCACCACCATCACCACCATAATAATCATCATCATCAGCAGCAGCAACAATAGTAGCATCAACCTCATCATCACCAACAACATCAACATCACCGTCGTCATCGTCACCATTGTCATGATCATTGGCACCGGCATCACCATCATCATCCGCATCGCCATCGCGTTTATGCCCATCACCAACACCAACACCTTCATCGCCATCATTACCAACATCAACCTCAACAGCATCATCGGCACCGTCATCCTAAGCACCGCCACCCTTGTAATCGTCCACAGCCCCATTTTCATCAGCAGCATCGTCGCCATCGTCATCGACATCGTCACAGTCATCATCATGGACATCATCATGGACATCATGATCGTCGGCATCGTCATTCGTATCATCATCATCATCATCATCATCATCATCATCATCATCATCATCATCATCATCATCATCATCATCATCATCATCATCATCATCATCATCATCATCATCATCATCGTCGTCATCATCATCAGCATCAGCATCAGCATCAGCATCATCATCATCATCATCAGTATCGTGATGATCACCATCAGCACCATAATCAGCATTGTCACCATCACCCGTCGTCATCATCATCATCATCATCATCATCATCATCATCATCATCATCATCATCATCATCATCATCATCATCATCATCATCATCATCATCAGCAGCATCATCATCATCGTAACTAATTATCGTCATCACCACCATCATCATCACCACCACCATCATCATCTCATTCTGAGAGGAGGAGGAACGGTTGCATTGTGAGGGAGAAAGAAGAGGGAATTGTATCAAGCTAGGTGCCCTCGCGACATATATGTCCTCGTATCCCTCCTACCCATCACTCCCCATTGCGATGATTGTTCCTCTCCCGCAGACGCGAGTGTCATAGCGGACCTGGAACTCCCGAACATACCCCATCGTAACACGTGCAATCGGGAAGAGGAAGCTGCGTTATGCTCGAGGCGCGAACTCCGCTGTGCTGAGCCTGGAACGCACGGCTGGCGCCATGGGCACTCACCGAATCAAGAAAAGGGGAGGGGAACAAAAAGGAGGGGGAGGGGGATGATGAGAAACCAAGAAACGCGCGGCACGGCGCAGCATCCTGGTGAAGTTGGTGCGCCTCAGGGAATGCCCCTGGCCCATAGTTCACAGCAACAGCGACAAAGAAGAGGCTTACTTGAGAGTCCCAGGAGTGGGGTTCTCGAGATCGCCTCGTGCCATGTGGTCGAGGCGTACTTGAGAGCCCCGTGGGCACCCCCCCAACCCCAGCAACCCCAGCACCCCTAGCAATCCTAGCAACCTCATCACGTCTTGATCGCCCTCATCGTTCTCCTCGTCTTGATCACCCTCATCGCGTCCACCGCGACTACCATCGTAGCAACGAACATCCTCCCCCACCCGCATCTCCCGTGGTACCCCCATTATTTTCACCGCAACCATCACAACCACGATCACCATCAGCACCACAACCATCAACACAACCATCACGAACATCGCCATCGCCGTCCGTACCAATACCACCATCATCATCAACACCGTACGCACAGCGGCATCACCCAGACATCATAAAAACGATTCAGCATCCTCATCCCGACTCTTCCAAGCCTGCAGGTGCGAGGTCTCACACGTGAGGGTCATCATTTGCCTCCTTCTCCTCCTCCTCCTCCTCTTCCTCCTCGTCCTCCTGCTCCTCCTCCCCCTCCTGCTCCACCTCGTCCGCCTCGTCTTCATCGGCCTCGTCGTCATCCGCTTCGTCGTCATCCGCCTCGTCGTCATCCGCCTCGTCGTCATCAGCCCCCAGAACCATTGCAGGGAGCGTGCCCAGTGCGCCCCCAAGGGTAGAATAGCATGCACCTTCCCCTCCCCCTGTTGCGCCCTCCCTCCCCCGCCCAATTGCGCCGTCGGTTGCTCTTCCCTCCGCCCTATGGCGCCCCCCCCCCCGGCGCTCCCGCTCGAGCGTTGCGCGGTTGCGGTTGCGACCCCCCCCCGCAACTCCTCCTGGGGTACCAGAATCACGTCCTCGTCAACAACAACGACTACGACAACAACAGCAGCAACAACGACGATAACAATCAGTTTGAGACTGATCGCTCATTTCTGCTCGCGCTAACTCACCACGCATATCCCAAACCCCCGATGCCCGCCCTCTTCGTCTTCGATCGTAACCGCGGCTGGGGGGTACATCTTTCTGACCTGCCACGTGTATTGGGCGCAGCTCCGTAAAGAGAAGTGGAGTAACAAAGGAGAGAGAGAGAGAGAGAGAGAAAAAAGAGAGAGAGAGAGAGAAAGAGCGACAGAAAGAGAGGGAGAAAGAGAGAGAAAGAGAGAGAACAACACACAAAAACGAGGAGGCAAAGAGTGGGGGAAGGGAGGGAGGCAAAGGACAAGAGGGAGGGACCAAAACTGCGGACGAGAGAGATTAGAAAGTGGGGGGCTTAAGAGAGGACCCGGGAAACTAGCGGCAGACCCGGACGGTTGGGTCGGGCAACGGTCCCAACAGGCGGGCCGGGCGGGCGGGGCCTGCAGACCCGCGGGCGGACCCTAAGGCGTGCGAGCCGCTGGGCCTGCCGTCACAGGCAAGTCAGGCGGGCAGGCAAGTCAGGCGTGGCGAGGGACAGCAATGGGGCCACGCGGGGCGCGAGCGAGCAGGGGCCGAGAAGGGCATGCGCGGGGCCACGAAGGGCAGCGAGGGGTCGCTAAAGGCAGCAACGGGGCCACAATGGGCAGCGATAGGGGCCACTGAGGGCAGCGAGGGGACCACAAAAGGCAGCGACGGGGCCACTGAGGGCATTGACGGGGCCACAAAGGGCAGCAAGGGGGCCACGAAGGGCTACGCTGGGGCCACAAAGGGCAGCAACGGGGCCACTGAGGGCGCAAGCGCCGGGAGGCCACGAAGGGCATATATGGTCCAGGGCTTGGGCCCCCCCCCCTCCCCCCAATGCTGATGCCATTGGGCCCCCCCCCCCCGCGCGATGGTCACCCCCGCCCCCCCCTGTGGGCGTGGCGTGGTGCTGCGCTGCGGTGCCCCCCTCCCCCCCCTGTGGATGTGGTGTGGTGCTGTGGTGGTTCAGAGGTGGGCGTGGCGTGGTGCTGCGCAGCGGTGCCCCCCTCCCCCCCCATGTGGATGTGGTGTGGTGCTGTGGTGGTTCAGAGGTCGTCGTCGTCGTCGTCGTCGTCCTCGTCGTCCTCGTCGTCGTCGTCGTCGTCGTCGTCGTCATCGTCATCGTCGTCGTCGCCGTCGTCATCGTCGTCATCGTCGTCGTCGCCGCCGCCGCCGGCGTCGTCGCCGCCGCAGCCGTCGTCGTCGTCGTGGTCGTCGTCGTCGTCGTCGTCGTCGTCGTCGCCGTCGTCGTCGTCGTCGTCGTCGTCGTCGTCGTCGTCGTCGTCGTCGTCGTCGTCGTCGTCGTCGTCATCTCTGGGACCATACCATCTGGGGGGGAGGGGGGGGAGCCCGAGGAATCCTGGGACCATACCCTCTGGGGGGGGAGGGGGGGGGATCCGTGGGCCCGGAGCCCGGGATCATATATGGGGCCACAAAGGGCAGCGTCTGGCCCTAAGGGCAGCAGCGGGGCCACAATGGGCGGCGGGGGGGGCACACGGGGCTACGCTGCGGCGAAGGGCAGCAACGGGGCCAGAGAGGGCACAAGCGACATTGGGCCACGAAAGGCGTCTATGGGGCCACAAAGGGCAGCAGCGGGGCTACATTGGGCAGCGGGGGGGGGGGCGCACACGGGGCTACACTGGGGCCTCGAAGGGCAGCCATGGGGCCTCTGAGGGCACGCGCGACTGGGGGCCACGAAGGGCGCATATAGGGGTCACAAAGGGCAGCGAGGGGCCACTGAGGGCAGCATCGGGGCCACGAAGGGCAGCGACTGGGCCACAAGAGGAGGGGCCACAGAGGGCAACAATGAGGCACAACGGGCGCGAGCGAGCATGGGCCACGAAGAGCATGACCCTGACGGGGGGGGGGGCGAGCGGGCGGATCGATCGTGAGTTCTGCGTGATCAGCCAGGAAGTTTCCAGCGAGAGAGCGAGTCCAAAGTAAGCTCGAGGACGTCCCCAGCGGCGAACGCGCGACTCCCGGATGGCAGGAGCGCGGCGCCGGAGTGCACTGTGAGAGAGTCTCAGGCGGGAGCGCGATTCTCGAGCAAATTGCGAGGAAGTCCAAAGCGGGAGCGAGGGACTGGAGTGAATTTCAGCAAGTATCAAGCGGGAGCCGTTGTTGTTGTTGTTGTTGTTGTTGTTGTTGTTGTTGTTGTTGTTGTTGTTGTTGTTGTCGTTGTCGTTGTTGTTGTTGTACGCTGAGGGCCAGGGGCACAGTTTGAAGAGGAAGACTTGCCCTGATAAAAAAAACAGGGTGCGCGCGCCAGGGGGGGCACTTCAATTGAAAAAGTACGATGTGCACCGCAGGGGGGGGGATCAACTATAATTATTCTTCAGTAGTGAGATTTGAACAACACCACCACCACCACAAACAACAACAAACACAATCATGTTGAGACTGTTCGCTCCTATCTGCTCGCGTGCCATTCAAGACGCATGTCCGAAAAATCCCATGTACCCGCCCTCTTCGTCTTCAGTCGTACCTGCTTGGGGGTATGTCTTCCTTACCCACCACGCGAATTCGGCGCAGCCCCTAAATCAAGGGAAAAAGGAGAACGGAGCACAACGTAAATTAGCAAGAGGGGCAAAACGAGACGAACAGGCGGGTTGCTGAAGCGTGAATCCTACATGAATCGCGAGGACATCTCGAGCGATAGCGCGATCCGGGGAAATCGAGAGAAAGGCCAAAGCGAGAAGGTGATTCGTGATTGTCGAGGGCGCGGCGTCTGAAGAAATTGCGAGGACGTCCCACGCGAGCGCGCGATTCCTACATACATTGTGACAAAGTCGCACGCGGGAACACGATGTTGCAGTAATTTGCTAGGCGGCATCGGGCGAGAGCCGTTGTTGAATTCGCACTTCAAAAGAATCATAATTGTTGCCCCCCCCGTGGTAACCATTAGATCGTTCAACTTCTGTGCTTCTCCCGGGGCTCGCACCCTGTCTTTTACAAGGAAAAGTGGGGTATCACCAAACTGGGCCCCTGGCCCCCGAGTTACAACAAACACGGCACCCGCCTAATACTTCCTCGCAGTGTCTTCCCAAATCGCGCTCTCGCGTGGGAATGTCTTACAACTTATGCAGGAATCGGGCTCTCGCGTGGGGCTTTCTCACAAGTTATTCAAAACGCCGCGCCCTCGGCACTCAGGAATCGCGCTCTCGCTCTGGACTTCCACCCGATTGATTCGTGAATCGCGCTATCGTTCCAAACATCCTCGGAATCCATGCAGGGCGCACGCTTTAGCAACCCGCCTGTATGACCTGACCGCCTGGGCCGGCCTTCCCGACCCACCCGTTGGGGCCTACCCGCCCGATCCGCCCGTCTGGTTCTGCCACCTGATTTCTGCTCCTAGCCCCCCTCCTGCTACTCTCTCTCTCGTGCTCCATCCTCCTTCCTCCCCCTTGTCTCTTACCTCCATCCGTCCTCTCCTCCCCTGTCTTAGGGGCTGCACGAAATACACGGTGCATGTAAGAACGATGTACCCCCAAATGGGGTACAATCGAAAACGAAGAGGGCGAGTATCGAGGGGTTCACGTGTTGTTGTTATTGTTGTTGCTGCTGTTGCTGTTGTTGTTCCTGTTGTTTATGTTGTTGTTGTTGTTGTTGTTGTTGTTGTTGTTGTTGTTGTTGTTGTAAGAAGGAGGCAAGGAAGACAGTTTGAGAAGAAAAACGTCCCCTGATAAGAAACAAGGTGCGAGCCCCGAGGGAAGCACTTTATGTGCACAGGTGAGGGGCAATCAGCAACACTTATCTGCCAAAACAGATACTCAACATCATCATGTTCAGATTGTTCGCTCCTATCTGCCAGCGTGAATTCCAACACGGATGTCCGAACAAGCCTCGGTGCCCGACCTCTTCGTCTTCGGTCGTACCTGCTTGGGATCTGTCTTCCTTACCTACCACGCGCATTCGGCGCAGCCCCTAAATCAAGGGAGGAAGAGACGGATGGAAGGAGAAGGGAGGAGGATGGAACACGGGAGGGATTAGCAGGAGGGAGCCTAAGAGCAGAAAACACACGCGGAGGCGGGCCCAAGTGGCCAGGTCGACCAGGCGGGCTGCTGAGGCGTGAGTCCTGCATGAACCGCGAAGGAATCTCGAGCGACAGCGGAAGGCGCGGCGTCTGAAGAAAAAACGACCAGGTCCCACGCGAGAACGCCCTTCCTGCATACATTGCGAGGAAGGCCCACGCAAGAGCGCGATGTTGCAAGACATTGTGCGAAGGTAGTAGGCAAGAGCCGGTGTCGTTGCTCCTCTTGCTGTTGCTGTGCAACGGGGGCCTGGAGCACAGTTTGGCGACACCACACTTATCCTTGCAACAAACCGGGTGCGAATCCCGAGGGAAACAGTATACTTGAACAAAACAATGGTCACTGGACGGGGTGTCCCAATAAATATTCAGTAGAAATGAAATTTTCAACGGCTTCCGCATTCTACTTCCCCACAATGTATTCCAAAATCGTTCTCTCGCGCGGGTCGTCCTCAGAATGCACGAGTCGCGTTCTGGCGTGGGTGTTCCTCGAAATGTATTGGATTGCCGCGCCATCAACACTCAGGGATCAGGCCCTCGCTTTGGCTTTTGTGACGTACTTGGCAATCGCGGTATCGCTCGAGACTTCCCCGCGATTCACGCAGGACTCACTGTTCAGCAACCCGCCTGCTCGGCCCGGTCGCCTGGGCCCGCCCTCCCTACCCGCCCGACCCGCCCGTCTGGTCCAGCCACGCGTGCCCAACTCATACCCCCCATTCCCGCAAATCTGCCCCGTGGTCTTCAATCCTTCCCCCCCACGGGCTCCGTTTCCATCCATCCGTCTTTTACTCCCGTATTCTGAAAACCGCGCCAAATACATGCGCCAGGAACAAAATATCCTCAGGAGGAACATTCGAAGACGAAAAGGCCAGGCATCGAAATTGTGGGACGCTAGAGCCCAACACCGCCGGAGCACGTAAGCGAATATTCATAGAACAGCAATGTGTAAATGTTCATGCCGTAATAGTAGTAATAATATTACTAATAATACTAATGATACGAATAATAATACTATTAATAATAATAAGAATAATAATAATAATAATGATAATAATAATGATAATAATAATAATAGTAGTAATAATAATGATAATAATAATAATAGTAATGACTGTTTATCCCCCGTTGAAGTTGTTGTTCGCGGATCTTCTGAACAAGGGCAAGCCAAACCCGGGTCAGCCAGGCCTTTCAGATCCTGCAAGACCCTGCAAGAGCACCCAAGCCCAGGACAACGCGAAAGACCGAACAAAATCATCCAGGATCCTGCACCCAAGCCCGGGTCAATGGGACCCTGGCCCTGCAGGATCCTGAAAGATATGGCGCTCTGGCTGACTTCCGTTTGAGTTGACCCCCGTGTCAAGGCTCCCGATGTTCAGTTGAAATGCTTACCCCAGGGCTCGCACCCGTTCCTTCACAAGGGAAAACGGGAAGCTGACCAACCACGGATACCGCCTGATACTTCCCCCGCGGCTGTTCCCAAATCGCGCTTTCGCGCGGGACTGCCCCACTTTGTATGCAAGAATCGCGCTCTCGCGTGGGGCTGGCCCCCAATTCATTCAGACGCCTCACCCTCGACACTCCGGAATCACGCTCTCGATGTGGATGTGCTCACGATTCATTTGACTGTCGAACTGTCGTTCGACACTTCGTCGCGATTCATGCAAAACGCGCGCTTCAGCAAGTCGCCTGTTCCGTCTGGCCGCTGGGGCCAGCGTTGCCGACCCGCCCTTTGGGGCCTTCGCCCGATCTGTCCCTCTGGTTCTTCCACGTGCTTTCTGCTATTATATCTCTCCCGCGCCCCATCCTCCTTCCTCCCCGTTTGTCCTTTCATTATATCATTCCTTTTCCTCCCCTGCTCTGGGGGCTGCACGAAATAAGCGTCGCACCTGAGAGAAATACCCTTAGGGAGGTCCGACCGAGGACGAACGACAGCGGGCATCGAAGGTTTGGAATATTCTTGTTGAGCGGCACAGCAGCAGATAAGAGCGAACACTATTACTACGACTGCTGTTGTTGAGCCCTCACATCTACGAAGAAACCTCTGACGCAACTCCCCAAATTTGCACGGCTCAGCCCAACCGAATGGCCCGTATTGGCATGAATGTTGAGACGGTCAGGCCGTCTTTTTGTTTTGCCAGCTTTATGGGGCGCGCGCGGGTTGAACGACTCACAGGACAGCGCCAAATGGACGAGGACTGAAGCCCCAGGCCCGAAAAAAGGGAAATGGGGGTGGGAATACGGGGCATAAGAAGGACGCGGTGGTGGGTGCAAAGAAAAGGTCAGCGAAGCGGCTGCAAGGAGACGGTGGAACAAGGAAGAGGACGACCGCGAAAGAGGCACGCTGAGGAGAAAAGGCGGCGATCATTCTCCAATGGCGCGCTGGACAATCAACGCGGCCCGCGAAGTGTGTCGTCCTGGCTCTCCACAAGATCAGGACTTGATAACCCGTGCAAGAGGCGAACGAAGCCTAACTCGCCCGCCAACTTCTCCGCCCCCTTCGTGCTCCCTTCAGCGCGGGATTCTAACGCCCGCAGGCGCGCCGCTGGGTCTGCGGGCGGCCCGCTGGCAAAACAGTTAACGCTGGGGTCGCGCAGCGTCAGCAGGCTGTCCACCGTCGTCGCCCTGCAACAGCATGGAATAGATGCAGCCAGAGGGCGTCTATGTCCTTCGCGCCCTTGAACGCCTCCGCGGTGAATGGTCCGGCCCTGGCACGCCGCGGACGCCATGACCTCAGCGGCCCGGGAGATGACCAGGCCAGCGAGTGTGACCTTATGCTTGCAGAAATCGGACGGGTTCGAACACTGCGGCTCGATGAAGACGAGGCCCGCCGCGTCCGTGGCGTCGATTCTGCGATCGAACTCCGCGAGCTTGTTGCCCCAGGGGTCGAAGAATGCGGTGGCATCCAGAAGCACAGGTTCGGCACGCCTCTCGCAAGGATAGATGGAATTATGTGCAGGTCCATGGTCAGTTCGTCAAATCATGCACGTGGCACCCCGAGATGCAGCCGCCCTCGAAAATGAACGGTTTCGCAGATCGCCCCGACCCAGCGATAGTGAGGTCTAATCTTAATCTGCGTAGCGCGTGACTCCGCTGGACACCCCAGCAGCCCTCCAACGTCGCGACAGTTTCGCAGATCGCAGACCCTCAGGGATGGTGAGGTCAAATCTTAATCTGCGTAGCGCGTCACTCCGCTGGACACCCCATCAGCCCTCGAAAGTCGCGACAGTTTCGCAGATCGCAGCACCCCTCAGGGATGGTGAGGTCAAATCTTAATCTGCGTAGCGCGTCACTCCGCTGGACACCCCATCAGCCCTCGAAAGTGTCGGACGTTTCGCAGATAGCAGACACTTAAAAATAACGAGGTCTGATTCGCATCTGCGTAACGCGTCACTCTTCGGGACACTCTCATCCGCAACTGCGGGATGCTACAGTATTCATACAGGGTAATCGTGGAGTGCCAGATACAACAGCAGAATAAAGCGGAAGAGGATAAGGAAACTGCGGAGAAACGCGATGACGAAGACGAGAACACGAGTGGGGCGGAGTCGGAGGAGGACTAGGATGATACTGAGATGAGGAGTCTCCTCCTCCCCCGCCATCACTATACTTCATCCTCCCCTTCTCTGGATCCGGTGAGCCTGTGGGCAGGAAAATTTCACCACATGTACGTCTCAGCCGCACTCAGAGTCAAGATAATGGCGGAGCAGAACAGAAACGCCCCGCTGTCGCCACGAGCAGATACGTCACACGATAGCTCACAGCAGAAGATGTCCCCAGTCGTAAAAGATGTCACAAGACAGGTAGTCCAATACCTCCCCTGCGCTTCATACGCTCCCCGGCATGGGGGGAAGGACATTCCAGGTAGGCGGATATTGGAGAAGGGATATAGAAGAGGGGTGGATGAGGCACGAAAAAGGTGATACGGTGAGAAAATTAGGAAGGAGGAGGGACGCGAAGATGAGCAGGACGACGACAAGGACGACGAGGGGAGAGGAAGGGAGCGGGACTTGGAGTGAGAGGAAGAGGGGGAGGAGGAAGAGAGGAGGGCAGACGGGACGCGGAGGTGAGTGCAGGAGGAGATCTGGTGTTGCCAACGGTGTCCGTGGCTGGCCCCCACATGTTCAAGTCATGTTGGAACCCCTGGGGGCCCCCGCGGGCCTCCCGGGTGGATGCATTGGATGCCGTGGAAACCTTCCCGAAACTCCTGGGGGGCACCTTGGGCCAAGGACACCTCTGGCAGTACCCGAGTCGGAGCGAAGACGCGTCGCTCCTCCAGAGCCGATCCTACGAGGGAGCCAAACAAAGAGAAATGTACACGCCCATCCACGCACACGAATCCGACCCCCAGTGCCAGTTCACGAGGCAGTCCTCGTCTCACGCACGCTCGCGCAATGCGTTCTCTCAAGCCCCATATGCAGGCACGTACGCACGCGTCTTTTTGTTCACACCCGACCTGTGTGGCCCTCTTCCTGCTGGACAGGTGTTCGTACGCTTTGGCCGGGCGTGTCCTCCTACAGGCAGAGTTGAAAAAAAGTCAAACATATTCAAAAGATGTCAAACACAGTCGACCAGCCGCAAGACTATGATGTGACTACTTCTGAATGTTCCTCCCGTAGAGGGACAAGCCCGACTTACTCGTACGCCCCGCCAGGCCGTGCCAAGGCCTGCCCGCGTGGGTGTCCTTCCGTACGCCCCACCCTCCTCCTCCCCCTCCTCCTCCTCCTCATCCTCCTCCTCCTCCTCCTCCTCCTGTCGGTCCTCCTGAGGGCTGAGGGTCGGAGGGGCCGCAACTCGCCCCGCTCCTCTGAGAGGGGGTCGCTCATCCACTCTCATCCTCCGTTGATTGTGTGCTTTTCCGATTTGTTACGTCGTCAATGCCCCATGGAAGTGATCAGCTTGCAGGATGCCCCACGAGATGCGACTCGAATCTGCGCAAGATTGGCGTCGCATCGCAGATGCAGCAACCTGCGCCAGAAACGCCTACCACAGGGAACACCATGGGCGGCGGGCTGCTGGCCGCGAGGCCTTCGAGGGACGCGCTGGCTGCACGCTTGCGTGCATCAGGCCAACTCCCAGTCGTGCGTTCTGCCATGCCTGCGGCGCGGACGGCTTCCCGTCCCCTCCGGGCCGCCCGAGAAAGGACCCTGGGACCCTCGCGCGGCGAGCACGAACAACTCCGTGGAAGACTCGCCCACTGACGCATCTGTGGCCCCCTGCGGTTGGGATCGGTCAAACTGAAGTCGAACATCTCGTCCGTGCCCCCTACAGTGCACAAACAAGGAACATTCGTGCAGAAAGCGCAAAGGAGACTGAATGGCGTCAACTTCTCCAGTTGCCTCGCGCTGCGCTGGCCAATCTTCAAACCCTTTTTACCGTAATCGTTCTGACGCCAACGACTTCATCGCTATCCAAGGTGAGTCTTGTTAGAGGCTCTGTCTAACATTATACCGCGTCGGTTTAGTAGTTGTTAAATGCCTTTGGTGTGTTGTCAGCACTGAGCGGCCGTATACTGCCTTTAGCAGCCGTTATAATGACAAGTAGCAACCTTCAGCGGCCGTCAGTGGCCTTCAGTAGCTTCTACAGATTTAAAACAAGTAAATGGTGCATGTAAAAAATGGGCTTTCAAACGACCCACTGACATATTGATCTCTACGCAGCACCCCGCAATTGCGGATAAGAGTGAGGGGGCGGGCGCGGGCGACGCGAGCGTCGTCGAGCCAGCGGACCTCGTGGCCCCCACCTTCTCTGTCGATGGCGCTCTCCTCCTTTTTTCTCAAACTAAGGGTTGTGATGATGATACCCATCCAAGAACAGAGAGCAGGCGCGGGACAGAGGAAAAGAGAGGCAGGCAAAGCGGCGCGGAGCGCCTGTGCGGTCGTCGGCAGCGAGGCGAGACCGAGGCCAAGCAAGAGCCAGGCAGAAAGGAATCTAGTCGCCCTCGGCGGTACGGGCAAAAGTTCCGCGATAGGCCCCCAACGCGAAATCCAAACCCATCTCCCGCTCAAAGTATGGGTCCAGAGGCATCCAGAACTTCTCAAATTTCGTTGCTACTTCCATGGGTACCTGACCGACGACCTGGGGCCATCTCTCGATGAACTGCTGGGCGAAGGCCTCAGCAATCAGGGTGCACATAGCCGGGGGATAAGCTTTCGCACGCGCTGTTCTCCAGATGTCGTCGCCGTCGAGTCCCCGCAGGACTTCGTGTGCTCCTCTCGGGTGTGAGAGAAGGAAGCATTACCGCCAAAAGGGTGGTGGGTTTTACCGAGGGAGCTCCACACATACATTGATCCATGTCAACGCTGACAACCCCCTGGAGCCCCTTGATAAACCTGGTCTCTGGTAACTTCCAGGAGGAGGGAAACGCAGGCAGGTTGGACCCTTTGGGGTGCTCCATCGCGGCAGGTATGTCCAGGATCCAGGCGGTGTGGAGGAAGTAGAGGGTGGTCCTGAGAAGTTGATTGGCCAGGAAGACTTGGTGGTCTTCCTTGGGCTTCAGATCCCATCTCCCCCAGGGTCTCGCGGCTCTATCGCCCGCGCTCGCCTCCTCCTCCTCCTCCTCTTCCTCGTCCTCGTCCTCGTCCTCATCGTCATCCTCATCCTCCTCCTCCTCCACCTCGTCCTCCTCCTCCTCCTCTTTTTCCTCGTCCTCACTCTCCCTCCCTCGTCCTTCCATCATCGTCCTCCCATTGTCGTCCCTCCCACTGTCGTCCATCATCATCCTCCTCCCCCTCCTCCCCTCCTCGTCCTCCTCCCCCTCCTCCCCCTCCTCCCCCTCCTCGTCCTCCTGCTCCTCCTCCTCTTTCTCCACATTATCCTTACATCCTCTCTTCTTCCGCGTCCTCCTGGTCCCCCGTTTACTCCTCCTGCCTCCCCCTCCTCCCCCAAGAGAACGGCAACGCAATCCTTTTTTACACTTTATGCTCCCCGACTTCTCTGATCAAGGCAACTCGCCAGGGCAAAGTTGCTGGACGGGCTGGTGTGGATGCGCGGGGCTTGAAGAGGTCGTTGCGGGCTCAGACGGCATGCAAAAATCCGCCGCCGCGCTTGTGCGGCATTGGTTTGTTCAGTGAACGTGGTTTGGGTCGCGGGTGGGTCGCGGGCTCTCCACCTCCACCTGGAAGGAATGCAAAAGCAGCCCGCCGCAGGCGCCGAAAAAATTGGTTTGTACACTGAACGTGGTTTGGGTCGCGGGTGGGCCGCGGGTTCTCCACCGGGAACGAATGCGAAAGATGCCCGCCGCAGGCGCCAACAAAAATTGGTCTGTACCCTGAATGTGGTCGCGGGTGGGCCGCGGGCTCGCCACCTGAAACGAATGCAAAAGATGCCCGCCGCAGGCGCCGAAAAATGTGGTTTGTACCCTGAACGTGGTTTGGGTCGCGGGTTGGTCGCGAGTTGGTCGCGGGCTCTCCACCTGGAATGCAAAGAAAGCCCGCCGCAGGCGCCGATAATGGTGGTTTGTACCTTGAACGTGGTTTGGATCGAAGGTGGGTCGCGGGTGGGTCGCGGGGTGGGTCGCGGAGGGGTCGCGGGCGGGTCGCGGGGTCGCGGGCGGGTCGCGGGGTGGGCCGCGGGTGGGGGTGGGTCGCGGGTGGGTCGCGTCGGGTGGGTCGCGTCGGGGTGGGTCGCGGGGTGGGTCGGGTGGGTCGCGCGCGGGTGGGTCGCGGGGTGGGTCGCGGGGTGGGTCGCGGGTGGGTCGCGGGTGGGTCGCGGGGTGGGTCGCGGGGTGGGTCGCTGATTGGGTCGCGGGGCGGGTTGCGGGTGGGACGACGACAACAAACAACAACAACAACAACAAACAACAAACAACAAACAACAAACAACAAACAACAAACAACAACAAACAAACAACACACAACACACAACACACAACACACAACACACAACACACAACAAACAACAAACAACACAACAACAAACAACACAACAACAACAACAACAACAACAACAACAACAACAACAACAACAACAACAACAAACAACACCAACAACACAACAACAACAACAACAACAACAACAACAACAACAACAACAACAACAACAACAACAACAATTACTAGCACGTGGGGACACTCCGTTCTCACCAGTGCCAGGGTTTTCATAGGAGGCGGGCAATACCCCCACTTTGTGGGGGGGCCGGTTCAAGCTCTACCAAATTTCCAAACGACTCTTCGCCACCACCCACACCCAGCTTCCCGCCCTATGACGTTCGGACACTTCACTTCGTGGCATGCGGACGACCGTGGCTACTATTCAGGGCCCCGCGGCCGACGACGACGGCGTGCGCGCGCGAAGAAAAAACGAATGTGTCCCGCATGGTATTATTTGACAGGGATGATGGCCCTGGCAGGTGCGCAACCGTTGTCGCAGAAGTTCGAAAAAGTTGCTCGCAAAAGCCCGTTTGACAGAAATGTTTAAAAAGTGTTGGGTTTCCTACGAATCCGCAAGAGCGCGCGGGATGAGATTTTGACAATTTTTTTGTTGAAAAACCATTGGTTTTTTGATGTTTTTATGTTAAAATCGCTCCGAACACTAAGCTTTTGGAAGGATTTCGTCTTGCGCGCGCGAATGTCCACTTTACCTTATTTTTTGCAAGGGATTCTTGAAATTTGATTATATTAGAACAAGAAATGTCATTTTATAGTGTTTTTTGCAAGGGAAAACGGATTACAACAAAACAACCGGATCTGGACCCCATCCACTTTTCTGAAGCTTTCGCGAAAAAATGATGAAAATGTAGCTGCGGCCTAGGCGCGGCGGGGGGGCCGTGCACCAGGGGTCCCAACAATAATTATTCTTTAGAATTAATAATGTTCAACAACAACAATAATCCTCACCGCGGAATCCCACTTCAGCCACGCACCCAGGGACAGTGAATGACCGTTCGGCCCCCTCACTCGGACATGCCCGTGCGTAGACGCTCTCGGGGTCTTCGCCATCCTCCCCCCTTGTTTTTATTGCCCGCAACTCAAATAGCCTCAACTTTCAACTGCTTCCGCCTTTCTATTCATCGAGTCGCTACCTCTTGGGATGCCGAATCTAACGCTGAAATGTCTGCACCGAAGATTACCGCAAATAAAGCCAACTCAATACCGTGTTTGACAAACCTCTTTCATACAAGAAATCTCCGTCATTACCGCGACCTCGTTAACCCCCGAATCCGATGATGAAACATGCTGCCGCGCAGTCACGTTCTCGGCCCCATGTCCGTCTGGATGATAGCGTTGGCAAGGTCTAGCTGCACCGCAGTGGCCTTCTCCTCCAGCTGTTCCTACAATCCCCTCGTTTCTCCCATCTCCTCCCCGAAGATCGGCACCCACCCCTCCGTGGGGACATCTAGGCGGCCCAGGGAGGTCGTCGCTGTCGACGGACCACGTGTCTGGGTCGCCAGGGCGCATGGCGATGCCATTCGAGTAGCCGCTGCCGTTCGCCTGAGCGAGGAAGACGACGAGGGAAAAAAGAATAATCAGGAGGCAAGCGGCAGGAAGCCTGGAACAGAGAAGGGCGCAAAGCAATGAGGCCGGGATGCTGGATCAAACCCACCCCGCCCAAGAATCAGAAAGCTCCACTGCTTCGTGATCTGTCGCATCATGAGGCTTGTCCTTAATACCAGAGGCTGTGGCTGACCGTAGCGATGGGAACTTGTTACGAATATCCTGAGGGCTTGATTTATGCTGTTCCCATCCTACTGAAAGACCACATCCCAGAAATAATTTCGAGCACCCGGAAAAGTGTCAAAGAGTGTCGAAACAGTGTCGAAACAATGTCGGGCGAGTGTCTCCCAGGGCCCGACACGTGAAAACCATTGAATTTCTGAACTTTTCTGGCGCTCGAAACTCTTTCTGGTGATCAAGGCTAAAGTCGGTTGGAGCATCATAGGGCTTGATGCGGGCGCGTGGCCATCGCGGTATTACGTAACCAGGATGGTGCCCGCTCAGCGCTCCCGAGTGGCCCGCGTGCAAGCATTTGACGAGGACCGGCCTCGTTCAAATCGCGTCCGTGGCCCGCACTGGTCCCCAGACAGTGTTGCCCTAGCGTCGGCGGCGAGCGAGGGGGAAAAAGGAGGAGGAAGAGGAGGAGGAGGCCCTTTCAGAAGGCGGCGGGGCTTCTCAGAAGCCCTCCAGCCCTCTGGGCAGCTCTCTCTGTCCTCGAGGAAGGCCTGGGCAACTGCTCAGAAGGCCGGAGGCCTTCCGAGCCTTCTGAGAAGGCCCGCCCCCTCTCTCTCTCTCCCCCCGGGCGCGCCGCTCCTGCCTGTTTGGACACCCGAAATGGGTACCGAAAGAATGGGTACAATGCCCAACAACAAATGTTGTCCCAAAGCAACAGCGGCCGCTGTTGGGCAGGCGACCTCCTGTCTCGAACGGACACAGGCCGCGGCGGCGTGGACAGCGAGTCCTGCTCAAAAGGAGCAGGAACTGCTGTGGGGCATCGTAGCCCCCTTCTTTCAGTACCCCTTTCGGGCGTGCAGAGCCTGGGTTCCGGAGAAATCGGGTTGCGCCGCCAGGGCTTTCCCTCCGGGGCGGCCTCGCGGGCGCCTCGTGGGCGCGCCGTGCGCGGAGCGGGCCCGCAGGGGCTGCGCGGGGGGGGGGGGCGGCCGGGGGGGCGCCCTCGTGGTCACCGCCCCCCGTGGGGCTGTCGGGTCCGCGGGGGAGGGCCGGGGGGGGGGGGAGGCCGTGGGCGCCGCGCGGGCACCCCGTGTGGCTCGCGGCCGTGCGTTGGAGGCCGCGCGCGGAAGACGTCGCGGGGATGTGCGCGCGCCGCTTCTGGCGCAGCGTGGGGGGGGCGGCTGCTGGACGACTGGGATGAGACGGAGGGGCCCGGGACGGGTGGCGGACACAGGATGCAGAGGAGACCGATCGGGCGATGAGCAATGGAGGAGCGAGAAGAGGGGGGGGCATCAGGGCACCGAAGGCGCACCTGTCCTCGCCCCCCCCATTTATCGTATGCCCATTACTAGACGCCCGAAACGAGAGGGCAACGGAGCCGACGGGAGCGGGGATCGTCGGAAGGAGGAGCTGGGAAAACCAACGGATACGGATACCAGTACTCCCGGAACCTCTCCCGGGGTGCGTTCTGACAATAATTTCGAGGCGAATCCAGCGGTGGCGACGAGGGCCTCCAACGAGGCCCAACGAGGAGAAAACATGGAAGGGTATAGCGGGATGCACAAGGACATACTGGTACTGTATGTCCTCCGTGGAGGCGTGCGTCCGACCCGAACACCTGCTATGGCTTTAACGATCTTGTAGTGAATCGTTTCCCGAGCGGTATGGCCCGAACGCGCGCGCCACGGAGCTTATACTATAAGATTTCTCCTTGCGCGCGTCGCCCCCAGGGGGGGCGACGCACACATAGTATGTCAGCATGCTGGGGTGGCGCCGATGTAGGCGAGGCCTGCCGGCGCTCGGACATCCTTCCCCGTGCATCTTTCGGTTTCCTGCGTGTCTTACGCCCGATGATCCAGGATGCTCATCAATGATCCCCGCCGAGGAAGAACTGCCCACGCCCGAGCGCAAGTCCGTTTCCTCCCCCGAGGAGGCTATGCGGAAGATCCTGGAGGCCTCGCGCGGCAACTTGAGACCCGATTTACGTCGGATCCACGTCGTATTTACGTCGGGTTTACGTCGGACTACGTCGGAATTGCGTCGGACCTACGTCGGACTGGCGCCAGAGCATCGCCACGCGAGCGCCGACCCAAATCTTACGGAGCTGACGTGTGGACTAGACAATGCAGCTATCACTGAAGAGGCCCTGGGACACACAAATCAATACACACAAATAACAGGATTCACATATTTTTCAATATTTTTGGGATTTTCGTCGTCTTCCTCACCACTTCCTATATTTTCCCATGTTATCTGGGGGATCGACGATTACTTGTGTCTGTGTGTGTTTTTTCCCTCCTGAATTACGCGCCGCGCGAGGTCTCCAGGATTTTCCTTATAGAGGAGGGGTCAGCGGGCAGCAAGCGTCGAGAAGGCGGCGGCGCCGGCAAGCGGCGGCCGACACAACGCGGCGGCGGCCCGAGCCCGCCCCCCGCGCGCGCGCGCGGGGAGGCCGCGCGGAGGGAGCTCGCGGCCTCTGCGGCGCGGCCCTTGGAGCCCGCGCCTGGGGGGGGCGGCCACGAGGAGTGCCGTAGGGGCCTGACACCAAAGAAACCTTCCACAAGAAACCGCACCCTGAGACCCCAGGACGTCCACTGACTTTTGGCGTGGGAGCGTCACGCTTTCCCTCGCGAAACCATCGGAACCCAAGAAACCCAGGCCAGGGCACCCTACAGGCAGGCAGGGTGTTTCTTGGCATTGGTCTCCACTGTATGTCCCTTAGCGGGCACTGGAAACGACAAGGCCGTTTTTGTTACCGGCTCCATTTTGCCGTTGTCTTGCCGGTTCCGGCGCCGTTTTTGTTCCCGCCTCCGTCGCCGTGGGGTTGCCGGTTCAGGATCCAATTCCAATTCCAGATCCGTTTCTCGTCGCTTCGGGCTGCCCTTTTTTACCATGTCTACTTTCAAGCGACACTTTCGGAAACGGTGAACAAAAACGGCCCTGCCATTTCCGGGGTCCACTCAAGTATGTCTTAGGTATTTCCACAGACGTGTTTCGGCGGCGAGCCCATGGAAAACACACACAACAACAACAACAACAACAACAACAACAACAACAACAACAACAACAACAACAACAACAACAACAACAACAACAACAACAACAACAACAACAACAGCAACAACACCAACACCAACAACGACAGCAACAACAACAACAACAACAACAACAACAACAACAACAACAACAACAAAAACAACAACAACAAAAACAACAACAACAAACACACACACACAGTGGGAAACACATACAAACACACACACACACAAAAACACAAACACAGTGTGTTTGTGTGTGTTTGTGTGTGTGTTTTCCCCACAGTGTGTTGTGTTTGCTTTTTCCCACAGGAAGATAGAAGGGCGGGCCTTCTCGAAGGCTCGGACGCCCCCCGGCCTTCTGCAGAGCTGTCTGGGCCTTACCCGCAGACGCTGGAGACCTCTCCGAAGGCGCGAGGGCTTCTGAGAAGTTTCGCCGCCTTTTGGGAAGGCTTTTCCTTCTCACTTCTCCCCGAGATCGCCGTCGAGTTATACATGAGAATGGCTGCCCAGCGGGACCTGCTCTGTGTAGGGCGCTGCAGCCTCCTCCCTGGCTCAGCAACGCATGGCTGGACAGGTCCTTGTCGCAACTGTGTCTGCACTTCTCTCTCCACGACACTCTGGCCCATGAGGATTCGGAAGGAAGGAGGAGCAGGAAGAGGCGGAAGAACTTGTTTGAGTTTTCTCAGCTGTTTAGTGTGTAGCATGTCCTGCTGAAAGCTCTGCCGAGGGATGGACGTGTACGGGCCCTATCCAAGGAGGAGGTGACACAGAAGTCCACTCCTCACTCCAACATGATGCATGTATCCGACATTGAGTTGCCGACCTCCCCGTGTCGGGATGCCGCCTGCCTAGCTCGTGCCCGCGTCGGCGCGGGCAGCCTGACGCTTCGGGCCTGGGAGGCCCAACAGCATGCCTGACAGAAGGAGGACCGGAAAGGAAGGCTGCGATCTACTGCTGGATGTGCTGAGTGTAGCACTGAGCCGCCCAGTTGCTGAGCGCAGGGGGTGGAAGCTTCCTGTTGCCACGTCGGGAAATCATCTACGAGTCCGCCAGGTGGAGTCCTCTGGCCCTTAGCAGACCAGAAGGAGGAGCACTATGAGAGGCTGGGGCATGCATCGTGGAGGCCGCTTCTTTTTGCCGCTCAGGCCCTCTAGCGCGCGGTTTCTCTCTCTCTCTCTCTCTCTCTCTACATATATATATATATATATATATCGTTCTCTTCGTCTCGTGTTCAGGCGTCGTGCCTGACTCCTATCGCGCGGATTCTGCGCAGTGGAAGAGAAGGATGAGGACGCCTGAGGACGACGACGACGGCGGCGGCGTCAACGACGGCGGCGACGGGAATAAGGACGAATCTTCCCTCCTGCGCAATATCCTGCCCTCCTTTCCCTCCTCTTGTCCTCACCACATCCCACTCCAACCCGTCTTCACCACATCCCTCCTCTGCCTTGCCCTCAATATCGCATTCCCCGCAGCCTGAGGAAGCTCATGAAGATGCCCCGGGACGAACGCACGTGGCAAGCTCGGCGACGCCGCGATCACAGGAGCAGAACGCCGGCCCGCCCGCCCTCTCCCGCTCGCCCCCCCCATAAAGGGACCGGCTGGTCGCGCAGGACTATCATAGGCCTACGGCTCGACATTATCATTCTCAAATATCATCCCTCACCTTCGTCCTCCTCATCCCTCCCCCCCCTTAATCACCTTTCCCCGCAAATCCTCTCCGCATCATGCTGCTCCTCCTCCTCCTCCTCCTCCTCCTCCTCCTCCTCCTCCTCCTCCTCCTCCTCCTCCTCCTCCTCCTCATATACATCCTCATCATTATCTGTCTTCCTCTGATCTCACCCCCCCTCGGATCCTCCTGTTCCCAAAGCTTCGCTCCCTCTTAATTACTCCAGTTTCTCCTCCCCCGTTTCCCTCCTCCCTCGTCCCTGCCCCCCCTTCCTGGTCCATCTTCGTTCCCTTCTCCCTTCGCCCCGCCCTCCTCACTGTAATCGGCGATTCAGAATGCCTCGAACCGCACACTCGCAGAACGAGTCTAGCCGACATTCCGTCAATCTTCCCTCTTTCCGCTTTCCGCTGCTTTGGCGGAGGCCCCCAGAGAAAACCACCACAATCCGAACTGCCACCGCTCGAGCGCCGAGGGGGTCTCACAGGGGCCCAAGCAGCCACCTGGAAACCACACGAAGAAAAACACACGGCCTGCACGAAAAAATAGAACTACTCCTCCAAAAAACGATCCCCTCGCCCACAGCCAAAACGTCAAGCAAGCCCTGTGCCCAGGAAGCTCGACGAACGTCGAGTGGCGGGGTCACAGGGGTCGACCTGGCTGGGAGGGGCCGCTGGGTGGAAAGGTCGATTCCTCTCTTGAGCAGCTTTAAAGCATTCTTCGTGCCTGAGGTCGGGTGCTCCAGGCACCGCGTGCAAAGCGACAGAATCTGCCTCCGAGCAGACCCGCCACAGGCAGAACACCAGATCACCCCGTCCTCCCACCCCCCGGCCCACCACAGACGATGAGTATGATGGGCCTGAGCGAGCCGAGGAGGCACACCAGGGCAAGGGAGGCGACAAAGCCTAGCACGAGTGGCGCAATTGCTGCCACACTGAAGGCACCCCCAGCGGCCATCTCTGAACTTCACCTGATGGCCCTTGGGTCCGAAACGAATTCAAGCCGATCGAAGACCCGCCGGAGCCGTTCGACATCAGGGAATCCAGCGGCCGCTAGGTGGGATAGCACGCGGCCCGTATAGTAGGCTATGAACCTCGCTGCCGACCAAAGGGGAGGCCTCTGCGTTACGACTTTGGGGTTCGCGGGGTGCCCTTGAGCCCAGCGCTTGGCGAAGGTGTCGGCTAATTCGTTAGCCCTGAAATGTCGCCTGAGCTCCCCCCCAAGACGTGTGGGGCGGAACCGTGGGCTGCCGGGCCAGAGTGGGCAGAGCGGGCAGCCCGCCGCGGTCCACCAGAGCGGGTGGGCGGGCAGCCCCCAGGGCCGCTCGGCCCAGCGGGCCCGGCGCTCGCGGGGCCGTGGTCCGTCGGCGCGCCGACGAAGCGGCTGCTGGAGAAGCCCAGGCCCGCAGCGCCCACGCCGTCGGAGTCGGGCGGGGCCGCAGGCTGCAACCGCGCCGATGGCAGGCAGCCGGTATCGGGCGTGGACTGCCACCTTCGCTCTGCCCCCGTGCCGAGGCTGGTGAACACGGCTCGCCGCGTCCAGGGCGTTGAGCTCCGATGGGGCCCACCGATCGTAAGGCTTGAGCCCGACGGCGAGGGCGATGGCCGAGGAGAGCCGGCACTGAAAGTTCATGGCCGGCGTAGACGACCTGCCCTTGGCACGCGCCAGGATCACCGACATATTGTCACCCAAGAGAAGCACCCGCGAGTTGTGAAGGCTGCAATCACGAGCAACGTGACGTACCGTCCAGGTCCGGGCCCGAGCCTCGAGGTGGACCTGGGGCCCCGGGACACCCCTCCAGCGGCCGGCATAGGCCACCGCCCAGCCGCGCTCGACCAGGCTAGCCGGAACCTCGGCAAAAGCCCGGGCCCGACCCAGGCCCAGGATGGTGGCCTCCGAAGCCCCAGAGATCTCCAGCTCCTCCTGATGCTCGAGGGCCCGGGACCGTGTCGCCTCCAAGACGCTGAGGAGGCCACGAAAGCGGGCCCGTTCACGAACACGACCCACGGCGGCGACCTCTCCCGGTTCCCAGCGCACCGACCCGACTCCAAAGCCCCAGCAGGAGGCGTCGTAGCCGAAGACCCGACTAGACCAGGGCCGACGCATCGAAGCACGAGCCAGAGGAAGCAGAGCACGTATCCACCGAATTTCGCGATGTACAGACGGCCAAAAAGGCTGACGGCGGGTGTAACTCTCGTGGATGACAACATAGACCTTTTCCATGAGGCACAAGAGCTCCGGGGAAAGCGAGAACAGAGCAGTGACGTGGCCCACAAAACGCTCGAGCTCCTGTCCAGTGATACTCGGACGAACCTCCAGGAGATAGTCCGACGCTAACTTCAGCCTCCTGAACTGGCTAGATTTAGGACGCCACTCGCCCGAGGAGCCCACCAAAGTAAAACCTATGAAGTCATTGTCCCCCGCCGCCGAGCTCTCAAGGTTCGACGCGATCCCGAGGCCCGCGGGCCGAGACTGCATCCCCAGGACGTTTGAGGTAGCAACCGACTTACTTTGGGACAGGGAAACGAAGTTGACGATATACAGTCCGCGCAGCGACCCAACGTCGCCAGAGGTGGGAGCGGAACTTTATCTAGGAGCCACGGGGCCTCGGGGGAAACTCCATCAAGCTGGTACAGGTTAGCGGCCTGTACAAGGGCCACAGCCCAATTCCAACCCATAGGCACCACACGGGCCCGCTGGCGAGCCCAACCGCGTTTCCGAAGCGCGTCCGGCAGAGAAGCGACGAGGGCCGAAGACAGGTGCGCAATGGGAAGGATCGGGAGACCGAAAAAACACCTGCACTGCTCAGGGAGAGCGAACTGGTAATAGCAAACTTCGACGTCGCCTCCGTGCAGCACGGGAATGACATGAGGCTGGCATTCGAGATGAGCAAGGGCCTCGCCGGAGGGCAAGACCACACCAGGGGGCTCGCGGAACCGAAGGTTGGGCACGCGAGTATCCCAAATCAGACGAAGGGCGCCTGATTTTTCCCGAACAAAAAACATGCCACTTTCTTCGAGCACATCGTCGCTGACCTCCACAACGCCAGCATCCCAGAGTTCGGAAGCGAACTCTCAGAAAAATCTAGGGTTGTCCCGCAAAACGGGATCAAGGAAAAGGCTGCCCTCAAAACTGTCACGACGGGCGGCAGCCTCCTCCTCAGACAGAAGGATTGAACGATCTTCAAGCGCGGACTGCAGGGCAGGCGGCAAGCACTCACTGAGAGATACTCGCCCAGAAAGCCCCGCGGGAAGCGACGCGTTCCCTCGCTCGAAGTTCGCGCGTGCACCGACGGCCATCGCATCGTCAGCGTAGCCGGGCCGCGAACCCTGGAGCGACTGCCACGCCCCCAGGGCGCTCCCGCAGTCAGGCGGGGGAGCCGCGACAGATCCATATTGTCGGGCAAGGTGCCGAACCGCCGAGACCTGAGCTGAAGTCAACGAGGCAGGCGAGGTCGCAGGCGGCTGCGGAGCACCCAACTCGTTCAGAGCGCGGATGCCCTCGAACAGCCACCCCTCCTGAGCCCGCCGACGCCGAAATTGCCGTCGTTGACTCTGGGACAAGCCCAGCCCGCTGGCACCCCCCGCGCAGACCTCCGAGGCGGCTGCCAGGGAGATCGGCAGGATGTCGCGCTGCCTCGTCTGCTACGAAGCTGAAAACGCCTCAGGGCGGCACCGCCTGCCCGCCCTGAACCCCTAGCGAAAGCCCACGAGGAGGCGGGGCACTCCCCCTCGCGGCGGCACAAGACAGGGGGGGGGCCGGCCGTCAGGCCTTCTCTGGCTCCTTGCTGGAACCCCTGGGCTTCTTCTCGTGGTCAGCCGCTGCAGGTCCCATCCCAACTCCCTTTGCCCGCGAAGCCTCCTCCCTCGACTGGCGGTGCTCCGTGGGCACGGCGGTCTGGGAGGGCAACTCCCTCGCCGCGATATCCTCCAGCTCGAGCATGATGACGACGTTGCTCCAAAGATTCTTGACACCAAAGAACGAAGAACGCGCATTCAGCCAGTCGTCGCCGTTCGAGCCGCCGATGTCCGCCTCACGAGGTAGCTCCTTGTCGGCACTCTCCCACATCTGACGCCGGCGGCTAACCAGCTCGCGCGTCGCCAAGTTGCCGATCTGCACCTGGTCCACCGCCCTCGCAACCTCGATGGATGGTGACAGCAGCGGGCGCTCGTCCATGCCCCCGTCGGTGGCCAGCGAGCCCATCACCGAGCGCCACTCGCAGAGCTGCTGGAGGAAGCTGCAGCTCCCGTCGTGGATCCGCTCCGCCGTGAGGCAAGTCGGCCGCGGGCAGTCTATCTCCCGGTCGTCCGCAAACCCGACAGGCTGCAGGTCCTGCAAGGTGCTCGCAAGGCTGGGCTGGGGGTGCCGCTGGCCAACCCGATTGGTGGCCAGAATGTGGGAATCGTCACCCCCCGCAACACCAGGAGCCACGAGCAGGGTGCCCTCGAGACCGCCGGACAGCACCGTGCCGTCCCGCCGCTGGAAGCGGCACCGGTCAGTGGCGCTGAACTCGACCGCCCCGAGAGCGACCGTGACGGCGTCGCCCCGTTGCACGGTGACGTGGCCCTCCACCTCAAACCACTTCTCCACCAGGGGAGCGGAGTCCTCCCCAGCGACGAACGCGCCTGGGCCACCGCCTCCGGGAGCGAAGCCTGGCGCCTCAGGTGCGGCGGGCCGAAGGCCCCGCGTGAGCGCCTCTCCTATCGTCATGTAGTACTGGCGGCTCGCGCCGAACTGGTAGCGATCGATCAGAACGAGTGACCGCCCACGCAGAGCAACTGGCAGCTGTCCGTTGGCCAACACCGGCCGCAGCCCCTCAAAAATATCGAAATCCCGCGAATCCGCGACCCACTGAGACCCGCTGCCGTGGCCGGGCAGCGCACGCTCCTGCCGTCCCACTGCCGCCCCGCCCGCGCCATGAAAGTAGCAGACGAGGACCCACTCGACGAGGCAGGCTGTCTTGCAACCCGCGGGTGTCGCCATCCCCGCACGTAAATGTCAAGACGGTGTCGTCGACTGATGAAGAAGGACTCGAAGTCGTGTGCCCCAGGCTGCGACCGAACAACACCCCGAACACAAAGGCCGCGAGCGAACAGGTCGACAGAAGCCCGAGCACGCGGAGGAAGCCGAAACCCTCGACGCTCTCGGTGTGGCAGTGGCAGTCACATTGGCAGGCACACTGGCTCGCACCGCCGACCAACTCCGCCAAGAGGTGGCACTCCCCGCTGGCGGTGGCCACTGGGGGTGGCGCCTCGCAGACACACTCGACGGGCGCGGGCCACAGGAGACTGCGGAGAAACGCAAGCTCGCGAAACACTGAGAAGCTGAGGAGCAGAGCTTCCATAAACTTCCTGTCTTGAACCAAAAAGCGCTACAGAGCGGAGAACGGATGACGAGGTCGGGTCATAACCGTGGAGCACAAATATCATCATCATCAACATCACTATCAACATCAACATCAACATCATCATCAATATCCACATCACCATCCAAATCCCAATCTTCATTCTCACCAATACCGCCACCACCATCATCATCAATATCACCACCACAACTGCCAAAATAATCGCCAGCATCCTTATCCTCATCCAATTATCATCCCCCTCATCCCCCCTCATCTCCTCACCTCCTCCTCATCCGCCTCCTCCCTATCACTCCTCTTAATCCTCCTTCATCCTCCGCCTCATCCCTCGCGCATCCCCTCCTCTACTCCCACCACCTCTCTGTCCTCCACCCTCTGCCTTACATAGATACCCCTGCCTCCTCTCGCACCACCCCCGTACACATAAGAATCCTAAAACTGAAAGCACAACGGTTACACCAATGCAGGGCCCTTCGTCCTCAAAATGCGGCTCTCATCTAAGCGCCACGCACAGTCGCCTTCGTGCGCAAGAGCGACTGGGATGGAAACCGTTCAAAATACAGCTCTCGCTCTAACGCTGCGCGCATTCGTCTTAGAAGGTTGCAGCAATTACGAGGATGGAGTCCGTTTCGTTTCCATAATGCGGTTAACGCCTAAGCTCCGCGCGCATTCGGCCCACAAGTATTCCACTGTTACGTAGTTGGAGGGCGGCTCCTTCGTTTGTCCAAGCAAGCTTGTCTGTAGGAGTCCTTGCTCACGCGCATAAACACACTGGCCCACTGCACCCCTCCTATGTTCCGAGAACGCGTGCAATGGCCTCCTCTAGTTACAGTAGCCCCCCTGCTGCTGGAATGGCTTTCTTCGCACATGCAATGACCTGGGTCAAGCAGTAGAGGCCTCCCAGATGGGGTCGGAGGACCGCGCCGCATCGCCGATACATCGGCGATGCATCGGCGATGCATCGGCGACGTTGGCGATGCTACGGCGACGTCGGCGTGGAGGCAATCTGACCCCACATCGAGCTGCATCGCTGAAGCATCGCCGATGCATCGGCGATGCGGCTCGATCCTTCGACCCCATCTACTCCGACCCCATCTAGGAGGCCTAGACGTAGGGATGAGAAGCCCAGATGCTTTGAGTAGAGTAAAGTCTCCTATTTCTGGACACGTGCAAGTCTCTTAGTTACAAATGGCCCCCCCTGCTGCTGGAATGGCTTCCTTTGCACTTGCAATGACCTGGGTCGATGAGGAGAAACGCGTATGATCTGAGCACAGCAACGTCGAGAGACGTAGCGCAGAGTGCAATGCAGCGTAGAGCCGGGTCTCCGCAGGCCCCCTTTGTGAGGCCACCAGGCTGCGAGGCTTAGGTTTTGCTGCTCCCTGCGCCAGTTCCAGCTTCTAGTCTCCAATGCTACATGAGCATCGATCGTTTAACCGATACCTATCCCCACTGGCGTGGCCTCGGCCACACTCGCCGATTCACCCCCTAGATGGGGACATAGGCTGTCCCCTTCGGGCTTCGAAGGGTATATCCCCAACTGGTGTGGTGGGATGGTGGGGCTCGGAATGGGTACGGACGGAGACAGGAATATGGATCGGTCAAACGATACTGATTGCACACCTGCTTTCTGCTCCCTGTTTTAAATTGTTAGACCGCGCGAGGGGTGGGAGCCGAAAAGGACCCAGTTACCACCCCCGAATCGCGTGCTGATTTCCTGCGGGGCCGTGGGACATGCACAAATACTTGAAATTCGCGTTCCCGACGCCATCATTTGCCGTAAACTGCACTGCATTCGCGTCCCTGAGGCACGACCCATCGAAACATTACACCGCATTCGCGTTCTCGAAACCACGATCATTCGCCGTCACTGCCAAGAAATGTTCAGTTCTGGCGAACACCCGCTTTGGTGTTTGTGTATTTTTTCTTGTCGCCCATGAGAGGGCTACACTTACGTAGTCCAAAATATGTACTCGACGAAGTTCCCGCTGCCACGCATTTAGCAACTACACCAGATTCGCGCCACCGAGGCCACGATCCCCTGTAAATTTCATTGCATTCGCGCCTCTGGGGCCACGACCCCTCGAAAATGATCCCACGATTACGCCCCCGAGGCCAC